TAATGTTTATAAATTTATAAGGCTGTTTGAAATTTAGAGATTGGTTGACCAATGCTGGGATACATGATATATATAATGATTTGATAATCTCTAATTTTCAGATCACATTAGCTGACCTTAATTTGGAACAAAGGAATGTCATTCAACATATTGCAGGTCCATCAACTAATAAACAACCACTGTCTGAAAATATTCAGAAGACTATAACTGTTTCAAATGTATTTGAGCCTGTTGCGGGTCCGTCAAAATTTATACAACCCTTGTGTGAGAATGTAAATTATAAAACCATTCCTGACATAACTAGTGATATTCCTCAAGTAACTGAGAATATCAACCCTGTTGCTGCTGCAAATCCATCCACGAAAAACAAAAAGGATAAAGATATGTTGATAAAAATGAAATATCATCTGAGAAAAATTAACAGGCTTCAAAAAACTGTAAAGCATCTAAAGAATGAAGCATTTCTCAAAGTATTGAGCAAAAATGATTCCGTAAATGAAATATTAAAATATAAAATATCCCCCTCTTTTGCATTATTTTTGCAAGGAGAATTGCAAAACTATTAAAAAAAATCATAAGGTCGAAGGTGGAACATGGACTCCAAAATAATAGCACTAAGACTGTATAAAAGGTCACCTAGGTGTTACAAATTATTAAGAAGGATGATTTGCCTGCCAACACCTAGTTCATTAAAAGCGTTATTAAGCAAGTTTCACATGAAAGTTGGTATTAATGACCAAATTTTTAATGTTTTGAAAAAAAACAATAAAGCAACAGACTTCCTCAGACAATGAGTATATCCTTATGTTTGATGAGATGTCAATAAAAAAGAATTTGTTTTACAACAAAAAGGAGGACATAATTGAGGGTTATCAAGACCATGCATTGCAGGGCAGGTCACCACAAATGGCAACACATGCCCTCGTGTTCATGATTGGCGGAATCCGTAAAAAGCTGAAACAACCAATTGCTTATTATTATTCTAAGGAGGTGAGCATTATGGTCTTTTATTTGTTATTATGTCAATATATGTAGTAGTACTTTTTTACCATATTAATTTACCCTTTTATCATTCTAGGTCCTGCAACATTGTTTTGATGCTGGAATTAATATTTCAGCTACAGTGTGTGATATGGATGGTGTGAATAAGAGAGCTTTAAGTATCTTGGGAGCATCTGTAGAACAGCCATATATTCTGCTAAATAATCGAGAAGTGGTTACCATTTTTGATACTCCGCATTTGCTCAAATGCTTTAGAAATATGTTTTTAAAATATGACATTAAATGTCCAACAAATATAACATCAAATGATCAAATTGGATTTGGTAAGATATTTTGTTTTATTACAATCATAATATTATACATATTTCCAATTTACTGGATATTTACACAAATTTTTTTTACAGGTGTTGCTAAATGGAGCCATATAAAGGAGTTTTATGAAACAGATAACACCAATCCCAATTTTGTGTTTGCACCTTGCTTAAAACAAGAACATTTAAATCCAAATACGAAGCAGAAGATGAAGGTGAAGCTAGCTGCACAAGTGTTAAGCTACTCAGTTGCTGCAGGAATGTATGCTAAAATTTTACAAGGTAAATTAAATTTATAATTTAAAGTATAATATTTAAACATATGTCCACCCATTAAAATAATTATTAACTTAAAAAGGAACTAGGCTCTCCCAAGTACAAATTATTGTTTATTGTGTGATACTGATATGTGATATTATTTTTGAGTTGTCTTGTAACATACTTTAAATCATGTTTCTTTAATCCTAATAGTAAGATCTTAAATTATGTGTTGTTTACAGGGGAACTCTCTTCAAAGGCTGTCACTACAGCTAATGTTATTGCAAATATGGACAAGCTGTTTGATTCTGTCAACGCATGCACACCAGACCTAAGAAGGGGGAAACCATATTCGACAAACATGACAAATAATACACCACATCTCACACATTTCACTTTAATGAAGAATTTTTTTAAAGAAATGACGTTTTTGGGATGCAAACGAGCTCCTCCATCCCAAGAAGGTTGGATATGGTCCATCAATGGAATAGAACGAATTTGGAGAAATCTCAGTTCTAAACATAAATCAATAAAAAGTTTGGAAACAAGAAGGCTCCAGCAGGACCCGTTAGAAAATCTTTTTGGATGAATTCGGGCCAATTGCGGCTGCAATTCAAATCCCACTGCTGGGCAGTTTGTTGCGGGTCTTAAAACGGCTGTCCTTAGCAACTTATCTTTTATTGGGACAGGAAATTGTGAAGAAGACCAAAATCAAGTTATATTGAGAAATTTTAAATCTTTATTGTCTCCACCCACAGACACACACACTGCTTATGCCACAATTTTAACCGATGAGTTAGAAAAAAGTGTAAATTCTACATTTGAATGTAGCTTGGAAGAAAGCAGTGGCGAAATACAAGCATGTGCCTATGTCTGTGGGTTTATAGTAAAAAATAATCTCAACAAATGTGAAATTTGTAAAAAAATTTTTGTATCTGAGACACAAGAGAGATCACATACTTTTATTGACTTTAAAGAATATAGTGATCTGAAAAAGTCCCTTAAATACGCCTCTAAAAACCTCATTAACTGTATTGAAAGTAGTGCTACGATGATTTATGATTTTTTAGAGGCAGAAGCATATAAAAAAAAAAAGGGACAATTAAAGTTTTGTTCAAAAACTCAATAAATTGGGAGTTTCTCGATGAATGTCCAGAACATAAAGATATGAATATAGATTACTTATTTAATAGCGTATTTCACATTTGTATGAAGAGATTTTGTATTTTGAAAAATCGGCAATTTGCAGAAGAGTACTCTGCATCTGCTCTTAAAAGAAAAATTGATATCCTGCAGAATAAATAAGATATTAAATGGAACTACTTTTTCTGTATGTACAGTCATAATCACTTCAGTGATGACTTTATATAAGGAGATAAAAGGAGAGGGAGGATTTGTCCTCTCTCGAGAGAGGCTGCCAAGGAGTTACTAGCGCTGATGAGGCTACGGATGTGTGTAAAAGTGTACCCGTAGTCCTGCCGATAAGTGGTGAAGATGAAACATCTGAGTTTTAGTCGGAGTGGGTCAGATATTCCTTGCTTCCGCGAGGCAGGTAGGATTTAAATTTAAGTTTTTTTTTTAAATATTTGCCATATAGAGCCACTTTTGGATTTCGAATATAGTATTTTCGAAACTATCACTTTACTGGTGCGAATCATACCTTACAGTCTTTTTATCGTTTAATGTCGGATAGTTTATTAGTCACCCTACAAACAATCGTATTGCTATGCAACTAACTTTTAAGTTTACTGTGGGATATGGATAACACATACATTTGTATTTTTTATAGAATTTAGCAAGTAAATGCTGTGACACTTAGACATCTACCTGTATTATCGAAAAATAATAATAACTACTTAACTATTAAATCGATATTTAGTTAAGAGCTGTTCAGAACTGTTTACATGCATAAAGTTAAAAATTAGTTAATTACGTATATATCCATGTAACATCTTATTTATTCTCCAGGATATCAGTTTTTCTTTGAAGAGCAGTTTGCAAAAGAGGGGGATATTTTACATTTTAATATTTCATTTACGGAATCATTTTTGCTCAATACTTTGAGAAATGCTTCATTCTTTAGATGCTTTACAGTTTTTTGAAGCCTGTTAATTTTTCTCAGATGATATTTCATTTTTATCAACATATCTTTATCCTTTTTGTTTTTCGTGGATGGATTTGCAGCAGGTAGTGCTAATTAATGACATGAAAATGTTGACTTATTAGTTTTTAATGCAGTCAATAACAATAACATAACGAAAATAATTTCTACAAATGTAATATTATTGGTGGCATCTATAATATAATCAGGTTATTGGAGTTTAGACATAATATTGCAAAGCTATTGCCTTGTTTGTAGAATGTGAAGGTAAATAATGTTTTCTTGTTAGAAAAAAGTGTTTATATTAGATTGTCTAATCTTTTTTATATAAAACCAATGTACCTTTACTTTCCATTTTGCTTAAATGTCATGTTACATATGCCATGTTAAAAATTAGTTAATTACTCCGTCACTTACGTCCATCAATGTACCAACGGTTTTTCTATGTACCAATGTAGACAAGTATGTAATGTAAATAAAAATTATGTATTTCAAAAACCACTTTTATTTGAAAAATAGTTCCTTTTTATATTAAAATGATTGCTAATCGTTTCAAAAGTGGTTTATGAATGTAAAGTACCATAATTTACAAATAACTTTGTGCTTTTGTTTTCGTTTTAATTTAGCAATATATATCATTGAAACGAAAAACTACAAGCTATATCTATCTATATGGTATTTTACATTCTTAAGCCGTTTTTGAAACGAAACAACCAAGACGACAACTAAAAAAAAATCACGTGTCAAAATTCCCGCGCAAAAAGTTTTAGGGGGCACGACAGAGATGGCGTGCATTATGGGTGCCATTTTCTTTGTTTGAAGTTGACATTCTTCCCGCCTAAGGGTATTAGTGTTCTGTGCTCAGCGCTCACTGACTTCACCAAGCCCGTGAGCAGTAAATATGCCCAGATTTTAAAATAATTTCTTAATAAAATCAAATATTGGTCTTTTGAAAAAAAATTTACTATAGAAATGTTCATTAATAAATTGCCTATCCATTGGTGTAAATCGCAAAATAAAATAATACTTACTTTACGAGGAGATGCATGTTATCAATAATAATTTCACATTTATGTGGTTTCGTTGTAAGGAGATTATATTAATATTTATTACTTTAAAAAAAAATTGGATATAGCTTTTATGGAATCAAGATTATGTAGAAATATAATGTGTTTTTTATTTGTTGATATATCTTTTAAATAAAAAGTAGATAGCTTCTAAAAACTGCCCAAATAACGACTGGCGCGACATTTTGCTCAACCTGCGCCTTAATATATAGTGTTTGCGTAAAAATCATTATAAGACTATATCTTGAATAAAAAACTGACCTTGAACTAGAGGTATCGGCTCGGTGTTTTCTTTATCGTCATCTTTGCCGCGACGCCTCGACTTCAACTGTTCCTTTTCTGTGGAATCTTCACGACGAAGCTTTTGTGTTAGGTTTACATTCACCTTTGGATGAAATAATTAAAAAATTAGAGTTATAATTGCCAAACAATCGTACCACCAGTAGCTGGATAAGTGACTGCCTCTAAAGTGAATAATACGCAAGCAAACTGAGTTTGATCTTTGCTAGCAAAAATGAAATTGTAATTCTATATTTAAGTGCGGATTTGGCGATGATAGAAATCATTGTAAAGAAGCGTACATGTTTGACGAATAAGAATATATGTATTATGAGCAAGTGAAATGACCATTTGCCCAAAACGTTAAAGTGAAGGTGAAGGAGTGAATAAATAAAAAGAGACCAGTGCCCAGCATTGGGACAAACATAGGCTGTAATTCTACTTCTTTAATCACTCAAACACCAAGAAGTCTCAGTAATATTTTAACTTTAATAGATAACTGTGTATAAGTTGTCAGTTTTAAAAAGTTGTTTGCTGTGACGGTATCAGATATTCCATCATCCTATTCAATGCAGAGTATCCAAAGGACTACTTAGCATACTGTTGTTAAAATATTTTCTAATGGAAGACAGTATACTATCCTATCCTTTATCAGACTGTATATTCCTAGTTATCCCTCACCTCTTCCATTGTGGGGAAGATTTGATAATTACACTTAGCAGGTGGACCAAACACCACAGTATTACTGTATATTTCATAACTGACATATGTAAGCGTTGATGTTTACACTGTCATTTCATCCATCCATCCATTACAGTCTATAAAAGTCCGCAATATAGGTCTTCCCCACAGATTGCCTTCTGAGGGTATTTTCTATTTTTCCATAGTTGCCAGGTTTGGCAAGCTGATTGGTAACCGCAGTTTTAATAATCTTGAGTTGTTATCAGGAATGTGCTGTTGCTCATCTCCTGTTTCTCCCACGGGAAGATATGGGATATGGAGAATGGGGTATTATTAGATATTCTTGAACAATTAGGGACTTTTATCTGAGACTGTGACATGTTTCTGGTATTTGGCATAGCCGCCTCTTACGACACTCACAAGACGAAATGAGTTGACGGATTCCTTTAAGCTTTAGGCTCAATTTACATTGCCGCGGAACGGAATGGAAGTTATGGAAGCGAATTTTTGTAACTGTGTAACATGCAAACTAGATACGAGTCAAAAAAGAAGTGTCGCGTCTTCTGTGGAATTCTCTACTACCACGGAAAAATGTCGGCGCAGTCTGTGGAATCTGCGGGTAGTGGTTCGAAGGGAGACGCGTTTTCATTTTTTCCATAAATCATGAAACCAAATATGTCTTTTCTTTTTTCTGATATTCTTCCTTTCCTTTCCTTTCCCACCATTTTCTTCTTCTGCCTCCCAATAATCAATATGAAAATAGTATCCAATCAACCATTCTTGTCAAATAAAAAATCTAGACTAAGTAACTGAATGGTGTATACAGGCGCAAGGCGGATTCGCGCGCCTTCCCGCGCGTCCCGGCGAAATTGACGCTTCCGTTCTATTCCATTCCTTGGCAATGTAAATTGAGCCTACTAATCTTAGATATGTCAATGTTTACTACAGCTATTTACATATATATGATCTATCTATTACATATAAGATTATATTAACATTTTATATAAAAAAAAAATATTTGAAAGCTAATACTACATAATATAGATTTGTGACAATTCTATAGCTAACAATTATATTTTAAATTTTGTATAGATTACCAATTTACAACTATGCAACTAAATATATTTTGTTAATTTACCAGTCTTTCGAGAGTTGCAACAATAACACTGTTCTCACTTAGTGAATTGTTTACTTGTTTGTCCTATATAAAGTAAAAACAAGTGTAAATTTAAATTGTTATATAAATACATAACATACATATACATACATAAACACTCACGCCTGTCACCCAGAGGGGTAGGCAGAGATTATGGACTTCCATTTGGCACGATCCTGACACACCTCTCTCGCTTCCTCCACATCCATATACCTACGCATACACGCTCGTCGGTTAAAGGTACTCTTGATTTGGCCCATTTTTAATATATCGCCAATTTGGTCGATAAACTTTCGCCTAGGGCGACCCTTCCCGACTATGCCGTTCACCTCTGCAACATAAATTTGCTTTGTCACTCTTTCCTCATTCATTCTTTCTACATGGCCAAACCACCGAAGCATTCCTTTCTTAATCCTGGTCACAACATCATCTTGCAAACCACACTCTTCTCTTATTAAACAATTTCTCACTCTGTCATTCAGCTTCATCCCTAACATACTCCTTAATGACCGCATTTCTACAGCATTTATTCTACTCTCATGCTTCTTCTGCCACACCCAACTTTCACTACCATACATTAAAGTAGGTACTAACACAGCATTGTGAATTGCCATACGTGCCTTTTTGGACACATTCTGACTTTTCACAATAGATTGTAGAGCCCCATTCACTCTATTTCCTGCATTCACTCGTCGTTCTATATCCTTATCATATCTACCATCCCTGCTAAACACACATCCCAAATATACAAACTCATCTACTTGCTCTACCAACTCCCCTTCTATTCTTATTTCACATATCGTTTTACTTTCTTCTCTTTCAAAAACCATAACTTTCGTCTTACTTGCGTTCACTTTCATTCCCTTTTCTTTTAATGTCCTGTTCATTAATGTAACCATCATTTGCAACTCGGCTGCCGACGACGCAAGTATGACTTGATCATCGGCGTACAAAAGGCATTTGACGGTTAACTCACCCATTCTTAACCCGCATTCTTCTACTTTCAAATTTTCCAAACAACTGTCCATAAACAGGTTGAACAACCACGGGGAAGCCACACAGCCCTGTCTGACACCTTTATGGATGTCAAACCAGTCCGAGTAGGCCCCGTTGATCCTGACACAAGCACTAGAGTCCCTATATAGAGACTTCAATGCCTGTATCAGACCAGCGCTCAACCCAAATGAGTTCAGTGTTTGCCATAACACATCCCTGTCCACTCTGTCATAAGCCTTCTCCAAGTCCATGAACGCACAAAAAACTTTTTGGTTTTTGGCCAAAAACTTCTCGGCGATCATGCGCATGGAAAAGACCTGATCCGTACATCCCATTCCCTTTCTAAATCCCGCTTGCACATCCCAAATTTTTCCGTCAGTTTCTTTCATAACTCTTTCAATTAGTACCTTAGCATACAGTTTTCCCACAATGCTAAGAAGGCTGATACCACGGTAGTTTTTACAGTCCTGCTGTGATCCTTTTCCCTTATATATTGGGACTATCACGGCTTTGCACCAGTCTCCCGGTACCCGCTTAAGTTCCCAACATAAATTAAACAAGGTGTACAGCAGGTCTGCCACCACTCCTTCTCCAGCCCTTAGCATTTCGAGAGATACTCTATCATAACCAGCTGCCTTACCTACTTTCATACTTTTCATTGCTTTCATTATTTCATCTATACTTATATCTCTATCTATTTCCTCTTCTTTCGGAATTTCTATTTCATTTAATTCAAACGTCTCATCACTCATAAACACGCTTTCAAAGTATTCCTTCCATCTCCTTAAACTCAAAACTTCGTCATTCAGAATACAGCCATTCTGGTCTCGTATAGCATTCATTCTAGGCTGTTGTGAATGTCCCCTGGTAGTTCTTACGAGTTTCCAGAACATTTTAATGTTTTCCTGGAAGTTATCCGATATTCTTCTATCATTCTTATCCGTTCTTTCTTGTTATATAAATGTGAAAATAATAAAGATATCCAAGTTTCGTTAAAGCCTGTCCCCCAAGTTGGGCTTGCATGAGGAAAGGCGTATGTCTAGACTTGAATTCGACGGGGAGTGTGAGGTGTACAAGTGTCGTTGTGTTTTTGGCTATTTCTTATTTTGAGAACTGTTGACTTACTTTTTGTTTATTATTTCTATTGGTGTTGGTTTTAGTAGTTATAAATCCGTAAGTATTTAGTAATTGTGCTGTTTTATATGTAATTAGTTAAAATAAAATGGAGGAAGATCCTCCCGATCCCGACGGGGTTCCATGTGACTCCCATACTGTTACCAAAAAAAAAAAAAATATGCCTATCGAAATTGATCAGCTGAAGCGTAAAAGATTGCAAGTAACCAATAACTCAGCTCATCCTCAGAAAAGATTAATCACAGATCCATCTCAACCTGTACCATCTATTCAGACCTCTTATACCCATCCTGACTACATAGAAAAAAAACATAAATATTCTAATAACGACAATGCGCCATTTATTATTCATGTAAGTAAGAGAGTAGATGATTTATCAACTGGAGTAGTTTTAAAACCGATAAAGTTTGGTCATTTTCTCTACCATAATAATATTAAAAATGTTGTTAGTGATGGTGTTAAGCGAATAGGACACAATAGAATTTCTGTCAAGTTTAAAAGTGCAGCTGATGCAAATTGTTTTATTGAAAACCCAGCCCTTGCAGGTGCTAAATATGATACTGTAAACCCTTCTTATAATGTCACACGCATGGGAATAGTGAGGCAGGTCCCTGTAGAGTGGACATTAGAGGAACTCATATCATCAATCGAGGTCCCGGCTGGTTTTGGCTCAATTATTAAAGCTCGCCGATTTAATAGAAAGTCAGTTAATGAAAACCAAAGTACTGTGTGGATTCCCTCTCAAACAGTTGTTTTAACTTTTTCCGGCCAGAAACTTCCTTCTAACATTTATTGTTTTTTCACCTCAATGCCTGTTGAGTCCTACATTTTACCTCTTATTCAATGTCACAAATGTTGTCGTTTTGGACACGTAACCTCACCGTGTAGGTCATCTTCCCGTTGTTTTGTGTGTGCTCAAAATCATGAAGGAATATCATGCACAAGACAGTTTACCACTTGCCTATTTTGTTCAGGATCTCACATGGCTAAAGATCCTTGCTGCCCTGAACACTCTAGGCAGAGATCTATCAAACTTCCCATGTCACAGGAAAATATTTCCGATCTAGAAGCATCTGCCCGTTTCCCTCAAGTCCGAAGATCTTATGCAGATGCTGCTAGAATCCTTCCTTCGTATGATC